GAAAGATCCCGCGTCCGAGCCGGGACTCCAACCCGGGACCTTCTAGCTGTGAGGCGACAGCGCTAACCACTGCACCACCGTGCAGCCCAGGGGCCGTCCTAAGTCTGCTAAATTACTAAATGGCTTAATAGGATATTAATGATTCTCCACTCTGCACTGTAAAGGGAGGTGGAGGAGAGAAAGGAAAGATGAGGAGGTATGGTGGGAGAAGAAGAACAAGAAAAGGATAAGAAGACGCAACAAGAGTGGAAAGCATCGAAGAGATAGAAAGTTAAGTAGACAGAGATACAGATTTAATAACCTGGGAGTATTGGAGAGGTGAGGTGAGAGCAGGACACAACAGTGTGAGCAACAAACAAAACAAAAGACTGACTGTACAGCAACAATGCATACCTTCATGCTTAATTTCAAATTTTACTTGCATGCTGTATTTGGGGTGACTTAACATGTATGCTAGCATGTAATATTTTTGTTCTATATCAAAATGGCCGGACAGCGTGCAGAAAACAAAATACAGCACTTTCATCCATGAACGTGCTTGGGTAGTCCTTAAATCTTGATACTGACTCAGCTAAACTGCGGGAACTTAATTTTGACATGGCCTAATGCAATATAGAAATAATGAAAAAATCAGTAAAGCAATAATGAAATTCTTATTATATAATCAAATGCAGCACAAATATTTGGAAGTTTAACTGTTTTCAGTAATCCTATTCTGGTCACTGTGAATTATAAACAAGAACAAAAATGTTTTTGATGCATGGATATTAAATTTGGGAGAAAATCCCTTTTAATACATTGTGTGTGTGCGTGTGTTTTGTGATTTAAAAATGATAGATAGATAGATAGATAGATAGATAGATAGATAGATAGATAGATAGATAGATAGATAGATAGTCTAACCTAACCCTCCTACTTGTAAGCTCCTGCCCTACATCTCTCCACCCATCCACCAATCCTCCCTTCCTTCCATCCATCCATCCATCCATTCATCTCTCTTTTCCTCCCCTCTCTCTCTGTAACCTCCACTCATTTACTGAAGACTAATCCACTGCCCTGCTTAATCCCTCAACCTGCTCTCACAAACACACCCACACACACTCTCTCTCCTCCTGCACACTCAGCCTCTCACACTCGTAAACGCTCTTATATAAAATAAAACACAATCACACAGAGAACTCACTGCAGGCCTTGACATTTTCTCACTGAAAACACTTATGAATTCACAGCAGGCCTAAATGGTATATTCTTCTATATTCTTCTTCTGATATGCTCTTCCTCTGATATGTTCTTCTTCTGATATGTTCTTCCTCTGATATGTTCTTCCTCTGATTTGTCCTTCCTCTGATATGTTCTTCTTCTGATATGTTCTTCCTCTGATATGTTCTTCCTCTGATATGTCCTTCCTCTGATATGTTCTTTTTCTCATATGTTCCTCCTCTGATATATTCTTCTTCTGATATGTTCTTCCTCTGATATGTTCTTCCTCTGATTTGTCCTTCCTCTGATATGTTCTTCTTCTGATATGTTCTTCCTCTGATATGTTCTTCCTCTGATATGCTCTTCCTCTGATATGTTCTTTTTCTGATGTTCTTCCTCTGATATATTCTTCTTCTGATATGTTCTTCCTCTGAAACGTTCTTCCTCTGATATGTTCTTCCTGTGATATGTTCTTCTTCTGATTTGTTCTTCTGATATATTCTTCCCCTGAAATGTTCTTCCTGTGATATGTTCTGCCTCTGATGTTCTTTTTCTGATATGTTCTTCTTCTGATATGTTCTTCTTTTGATATGTTCTTCCTCTGAAATGTTCTTCCTCTGATATGTTCTTCCTCTGAAACGTTCTTCCTCTGATATGTTCTTCCTCTGAAATGTTGTTCCTTTGATATGTTCTTCTTCTGATATGGTCTTCCTCTGATATGTTCTTGTGATATGTTCTTCCTCTGATATGTTCTTCTTCTGATATGTTCTTCTGATATGTTCTTCCTCTGATATGTTCTTCTTCTGATATGGTCTTCATCTGATATGTTCTTCTGATATATTCTTCCCTTGATATGTTCTTCTTCTGATATATTCTTCTTCTAATATATTCTTCCCCTGATATGTTCTTCTTGTATGAATCGGATGAAATTTCTGGAGACAGAAATGGTCCTTAACAAAAAGGCTTGAAAGGTGCAGGTTGAAACAAGGCATGTTTTATCAAATGGAGGTCAAACAGATTTTACATATACCTAATAAATCATACCATGCCTTTTTTACCACGACTTTTTTCATACCATTTGCACAGCTTGAAAATCCAATTGAAACCTGGAATTTGCAACCTTGATAACGGTGTTCAAAGTCAGTGAACATTTTGTTATTTTCATGTCATTGTTGTAGTTGCATTTTCTTTTTGTGGTTATGCCCCTCTCCGGTGTCTGTTTCTCGTCCTCTTTCCCATCCTTTGCTATGAAGGATCCGATTAAACAACACCTACCACCTCTCTAAAAAAGGATGAAGCAGTTGTCGAAATACTGAGTTGAGAGAGACACCCCCTAGTGCACCTATTCCATGGAATATATGTTGTCCAGTGCATTTAGCCATATCCTGGTACAAATATAAAGACACTGAGTGTATGAATGGACAGAGGAGAAGAGGAGGATACTGCAGGAACATTTGAGAAGTTTCTGCAGACTGTTGAGTGTTAATCATACTGAAAACCTGGTTGTCGGTGTACTGCTTAACCATTTTTCTTTCAATGTTTACTGGACCAAAGGGCCACTTTATGTAAACAAAATGTCACAATTGTTTATTCTTGTTTCTTTGTCCAGTGAGAGGGGAAGAAAGGTGTGTGTGTGTGTGTGTGTGTGTGGGGGGGTGGCTGAATGTGCCATTACTCCGCTTTGTACAATTCATGTCATCAAGACACAGATGCACAGTGTGCAGCAGCCATGACATTGTGGTGATGGTGCAGGTATTTACAATTATTGGATTAATTGAGGAAGTAATCTAAACATGTATTGATAATGAAAATGTAGCAGTGGCTCTAAGCCAAAGTAAATCACATCATCAAGAACAACAACCACAATGAAATAAGGACAATCACATCAAAGTATGAGCGAGCTTCTAGGGTACATTAAATTATCAAAATATATATACATAACCTGAACTAAAATGAAAAGTTTTTCATTCAGATGAACAAAGATCAGATGAAAAAAAATTCAAGATGATAAGAAATTGCTCTCTAAAACCAGATGCTTACATTCTCTCTGACAGAACAGAGACACAAAAAGCTGCATTAACATTCATACTTTCCTTCTCTCTCTCTCTCTCTCACACACACACACACTGTACATTGTGCAGCATGAATAATTCCCATCTGTTAGGGGAACATGCTACATATCTCTGTGTGTCTCACTCACTCAACAAGCACGCAATCACACACACACACACAAACACTGTACACAATTCCCTTGCAAATGTTGGAACTGCTTTATAAAGGATATTGCAACACTTGTAGGATAAAACTATTAACAAAAAATGATACTGCTCATTTGGCAATAAAATCTGAGGTGAAATGATTTTCATTGAAGTAAATAAACACAAACAAAAGAAGCAAAAGCAGAAGCTTTCCTTGTAGATACATTTGATCTAGTCTGTGTAATCGTCAGCATTTATACATATGTTGTAGTCACAGTTTTCTAACATTCTCTTATTACTGCACATACAAAATGATTTTGTTAGAGATAACAGCCAACTTTTGAAATTACTATAATTACTTTGTCTCTGGTTTTAAAGTCTAAACAAGATTTGAACAACAATATCATTTGAGTGTATTACGTAATCTGATATGAGGTGAATTCATTCATTATGTTGTATTGTATGGTAACAATATTAATTTTGTTTATAGTTTGATGCAGTGAATCATAGGCACCTAAACAAACTGCTCTGGCACACAGAGTGTGGAGGAGACTTTTGTGTGTGTGTGTGTGTGTGTGGTGTGTGTGTGTGTGTGTGTGTGTGTGTGTGTGTGTGTGTGTGTGTGTGTGTGTGTGTGTGTGTGTGGAGGGTGGCGGGATTGCGTGTGTCAACAAAACAATGAAACCTCCAAACATCCAAATATTGCCAGGAAAGCCGACCGATGCAGCTCACACATCCAGCCACTCACACTCATGCAAAGGTGTCTAGCTATTGTGTATAATCTGGATGATGACAAATAGTGGCACTAGCAGCCAGCACCATGGTGCATTTGTGAAAAAAACTCTTTTAACCTTTGCTGAACAACAAAGCAAGCAACATCTGCAGAACCAAAGCAAAGAAAAATGCAAATTATAAAAAAAATTATTTAAACAAAGCATTCAACTACACTGAATTGATGGATATGGTTTTGCCATCTCAAAACTTGAAAAATAAATCCAAAACTATCTGTGTGTGTAACACTTTAAGATTAGTCAAGCTAATACATACAAGAGTTTAAAGTGTTCTAAGTGACATTGTCCTGATTTTAAGGCAGAGAAAAACCCCAAACTTTACATGAATGCATCTCTTTTATTCTACCAAATTCAGCTAGCATCTGAGTACATGTTGTTAAGCACCAGTAAACTAAAATGTCCACTAAATAAGATGATCTTCATATTTCCATTGAGATTCACATGTATGTCTGTTCTATTCAAAGCACAAGATACTAGCCTTTAATACTCTTACATTACAGATTATGAAAAGCTACAAAATGCCCTTATGCCCATTCACCAAAGTTATCACAATGTGTTCTTCTGGGAATTCAATAAAACTCAACACACTTTCCAGGAACAGAAAATAAAATTTTCAGGACAAGTATCACCTCTGACCCAGAACCAAACTCTTGAAATTCTTCTAGCATGCTGATCTGTACCATCACACACTGTATCCTTCTGTCATGTACAACTTACAACGACTGGGATATAGACACTGCAGTAGGGTATAGGTAGGGATGTACAGTATATTTCAGCAAACCGCAGTTTCATAGTTTCCAGCAGCACTCACCAGTTCTTGGTTGGTAGAATTGGAGTCATCTCCAGGGAAGGGGATGTAGATGGCTAAGGCCACACAGTTGGCAAAAATAGACAGCAGTATAAAGATATCAAATGGTCTGGAAAAAGACTGTTAAGGAAAACACTTATCTCAAATGGATGTTATTAAGTACTAACAGTATTTGAATCATGTAAATTGTGTCAGTTTTTGGTGAATCCCTACTTTTTGTCTGTATTTTGTCTCTTTGTTTGCTTTCTCTCTGTCTCTGACACTGTGGTAGAGAAACTAATCTATTATTTAAAAAATAACTTGTCAAAGTAATATAATCTAATATAATCATGCAATTAAATTCACTTGATAACAAGTGGGTTTACAGTTTATGAGGGAGTTATCTAAATTCAGATAATAAAAAAATAAAGCGCATTTGGTCCATTATTTATTAATTTACTCGTTAATGTGTCTATCTCCTCAAATCATTCACTGATCAACACAACCAATCATCTAACATTACATTAAAGCTTTCACACAAAACCACCTTCTATTTAATTAAAGTCTTGCAATTGCAGCCTACAGGCCACTTCCATTCCAACAATAAAGTTATGGTTCATTATTTCAATGACTGATAAAATTCTATATTCATTCATCACTCAAACACCTGCCATCCATCCATTCAACCAGTGCCCCTGTGTTAGGGCTACAGGATACTTCCACTCCACCAGACTGATGCAGGCCCTGCGGATGGGGTTGTTGAGGGTGAGGCAGAACAGCGCTCTGGGTGGCCTGCTGTTTGTAGATCCTCCCTGTTTTTTGCTCTTGGCGTACTGCTGCCTCTTCCTCTGGGCCAGTGAGCCTACAGGAGCAGGTCCAGTGGTGCAAACTGAGGGCCGGGAACTCATCTCATGCTTTGCAGGATCGTCCTGTGCTTGGCGGGCAGCACTAATGGCGGCATGCCAAGCAAGGACTGGGCTGACACCGGAGCCAGGGCCACCAAGGCCCTGAATGCCGCTATTGGCCCCGAGGAGGCCATAAGAGGAGCCGACAGGCTTGCCAGTGCTGGCCGGGGCCTGCAGGGGCTCCGGTGGATGGAGCAGGTGCAGACGGGTGTGGCTTTCTGACCAGAGCGCCGAAGCATCAGTGGAGGGAGTGGTCCTTCTATTGCTGGCATACTGTGCCCTGGAGCAAGAGAGTTGGAGGGGGGGGGCAGAGACATGATGGTTAAACTATTTTGAGACTGTGAATGTGAGTATAAACAGAAAAACCTGCAATTATGTTCCCCACATTGTCAGTGCATTTTGAGAAACCAGCTGCTTTTTATGGTGTTCTTCTGATTTAAGTTTGAATTTGTAGAATAAGTAAACAACCCTCGTACAAATGTAGTATATGAACCACCCTGAACCAGCTTTAATACTTTCTGCAGTCGAATGTAACTATCCACCAGGACAAGAGGATGAAGGCTGAAATAGAATTTGAAGGCAAAGATGTAGAAGTAAGATGGGTAGAAAAGTGAGAAGAGGAAGAAGATAATTGATTTGAAGGGAGTGTGGAAGAGACAGAGGAGACAGAGAGAGAGAGAGAGAGAGGGAGAGAGAGAGGCAGCTTGCATGAATGAGAGGGACAGAGAGAGTCATTAAAATCAATGTAAACCTCCAGTGAAAAAGACTGTCCTTGACACAGTCACTTTGGTTCACTGCATCTCTACAGCATAGTCGCATCAGGGAATAATGTCTCTCACACTGAGATGACCAAATCAAGCACATTGATCCTTCATCAGAAATATATTTTATAACTCCTATAACTCTATCTATGAAAATGTCTTCATTTGCATGTAGCCTGAAGTCAGTCTGATATGATGAATACAAAAGATGTTTTAACAAAAATTTAACAGCTCTAGTGCAGGTATTAGTGCAGGACTGCCGGTCCTCCTCATTCCGCAACAGAACATCACCACAAGTGCAAAACAAGTATAGCCGGTTATTTCATGATGATCACGGCCTGTCTGATATTTCTGACATGTATATGATCCCAGCAATCCTGCTGGATGTCGTACATCCGTCACACCGACTCCTTACTGCTGTTCCCGACTTTAATTTGAGCTATGGCAGCTTTTTAAAGCAGCACATTGTTAGGACCACTTCTCACCCGTGGAAACTGTTATAAAATAAATAAATAAATAAAAACTAACGGGATTCACTTGTAAAGTTAACTTAGCGTTTCCGTTCATTCTGGAGGGCGCAGAGATCCAGAGCCTCGTCCACAAGCTGTCACATGGTTCCAAACCGATCAGTTGACCATAACATCAGACCAAATAGTCTACAGCCAACCATTTTTCGGAGAACTAGCAGCAAAACTCGATTCCCCTGCGGATTTGATAAGTGCTGTCATTACATCCATGCAGCCTACAACAAGCGCTTACAATACGAAATCTCTTCATTAAGATAACTTGGAATAGCACTTCAGAGGCAGACACGACTCAGACTGTAATTACATAGAAAAAGCAGACATCCAAAAAATAAACCATGAAAGCGCTCTCGCCCCCTCTCGGAGCGCTCCAACTCTCCTCCTGCGCTCCACGCACGGTTTTACCTTCAGACTGTTCATCTGCTTCTTGCATCCTCGAATCCACATCGAAAATATCCGTTTTAAATCCAACTCATCTTTGGAAAAACCGTGCAAAGGTGTCGACGCGCGAGCCTGAACTGTGCCTTTGACCTGAAATAGAAAATGTTCCTCCAGCGCAAACCCTGAGAGGAGCGCCAAACATTTTCGCCACATCCGGGTGCCTGCCTGCAGATTCACGGCGGATCCGAGAGGACGCACTGATAGCAGCAGTCAATCCACTGCTGTCAATTATTCTTAGTGTGGGTGGAGTTGAATTGACAGAAGCTGAAGCAACCACGTAGATTTAGAGTAGCCATAGCTACTGGAATCACATATAACCTATAAACTAGAAATGCACCTGTTGCTGCCCTTAGGAAACTTCCAAAGAGCGAATTTTAACATCAGTTCGAATAAGAAAATGATTTTGTCTTGCCAAATGTTTGCAGACAAATATGATGATTTATACATTAAAAAAAACATTGAAAACACAAACAAATTGAATGTTAATGTGAATGGAGTTCTAAGAAAAACAATACAGCCTGGGAGACGACAACAAACAGCTGCTAGTGAAGGAGTCGTTCTGTGGTAACTGGATGTAGTTATTTAAACTGTAATAATAGTGTTTGTATGAATGAAGCAGCATTTGGAGAAAGGACATGGTCTTTGAAGCCTTACAATTTTAAGACTAAAAAATATTGTCAAAACAACTACTAAAAATGATATGTGGCCATACTATATATTAAAGCCAACATCATACATTGCATATTTCTGTCCATGTTTCGGTGTCATCTTACCGTCATGATACAGTCTATAGCTAATACAATATAAACAATTCAGATGAGTGGAAATCTAGTTAAAGGCTACTCTCTCTCCTGCTAGGTACATTTCTGGATAGGAGGATAAACACCGAGCCCTCATCCAATCCCTACGGTTAAGCCCCTAAAGAGTTCCTGTATACCGGGTCCTTGGACTTACCCCTCAGGGGTCTTCCCCTTATAATGAACGGCATTCTGTCACCTGGCGCTTCTCTGGGGCCTCATAGCGCCGTTTTCTGCCATCACCCCGCGGCGATTCGAGGGTAAATGAGTTGTCGGAGCTGTGCTGGAAGGTTACTAGTGATTGGATTACCTGTGCCTGCATGGAGAATAACAGTTTCACTCTAGCGCTTAATCCCCCGATTATAATCCCTGCTCGAATGTTCCCTCAATAGTGCAGGTGAAACAGGCAGCTGCAGCTCAACTGGACCAAATTATAAACAATGCAATCTATGTTTTGTTTGTTTGTTTGTTTGTTTGTTTGTTTGTTTCATACAGCTCAATTACTTCAGTAGTAGTATATACACCATCTTAATCTAACATTGGTTCAAACTGAGCTGTTCAAACATGCAGCACAACATGACTGACAGTGTAGGAGCTGGTTGTGATTGTTTTTTCTCCTATGATGAACACAGTATTGGTCTGACGCATTTTAGAAAATAAAAATAAAATTAATTCCACTGACTAAAAGCTCTGCTTCAAATTAAGCTCTGCTTCATAGAAATGTAGTGGAGTCAAAATCCAAATATTTGTCTTTAAAGTGTAGTGGAGTAAAAGTCATTAGTTTCCAAAAAGAATGATAGTCAATTAAAGTGCAGATACTGGAAAAATATACTTAAGTAAGGTATTCAAGTAGGCTAACCTAAATATAGGCTATGTTGTTATTGCTCACTCCTACTTGTGGTCTATAATACACAGAGGTTCTCAGATTAAAAACCACATCATATTGGACCCAGAAATAAACCCCGTTGTATTTATGTAACAAGAACATAATGTGGATGTTTTTCTGCAGATAGCTACATTGTCAAATGTGTCCCCTTGATTAATACGATTTTTTTTTCACCAACACAGCCTGTTTTGTAATCATATTCATTAATTTAATTTATTTATCTGTAATATAATTTTATTTTAGAAAGCAAACTACCTAACTTAGCTAGGCTAAGGTAAGCTCATAAGGTCGAACATCACTTACAAACATTTCGTTTTTAAACGGTACTCTAACAAATTAGGACTAAACTATATTTCGGTTTAGAACCTGTGGGATAAATAAGGTTTTCAGAGGCGTGATTTCCGGGGACAGCGGAAGTTTTAAGTGTCTGCAGATATCTGACCGTGCGGAAGCAACAATCACATCCAAGATGGAGACCGTAAATGCTGGACATATGATGAGTTTAGCAGCTCTACAGAGACAAGACCCGTATATAAACAAACTGCTCGATGTTACTGGCCAGGTGGCACTCTACAACTTCAACTCCAAAGCCAACGAATGGGTAAGTTTCTCAAAAGACCCGAAACGGTTTCGTGGATTCACTTAGCATGCTAATGCTAGCTCCTCGAAAAAAATAAAACATAAAAATAAAAAATACGTTAGTATTTGTCGGACTGTAACTTATCCATATATGTTCACAGACATAGTGTTTTGATACGAGTGTCAGTCTCTTAGTGTTTCAACAACTTGTTTGTTATAAGTTAACGTTATATTACCTGGGCTAACATAATTTAGCTGGTAAAGCTAACAGTCAGCGTTCGTTGTTATTATTCAGCAAGTTGTGGATCCACTGTTGTTTCTGACACATAACGTTACTACTACTACTACTTCTCATTTCAGGAGAAGACCGAAATCGAGGGCACCTTGTTTGTTTATGCCAGGTAAGCATATAAACTGTTTTAGTAATGTGGCACGACGACTGTGAATATTGTTCCCTTGTTTAGCATTATGTTTGTCTGCGCTGTCATTTGACGTATTCAGCACACGTGTATAGGCCGCAACCTTTGTAAACAAACAACTGCGGTTCGTTACAGACGTATTTCATATATGTATCTTATTTCCTCTCCATTGTTTTTATACAGCCTTGTGCGAACAGTGGTTCTTCATGAAACTCCACGAGATTGTTTTATTGCCATAGTTTCAAGATTGAAAGAAAATCATAGATTTTTCAGAAAGACGGGGGAAAAAAGCAATTCAATCTATCCTAATTGATCAATTATTTTAGTTGTTTTTTTACATCAAACATTAAATATAACTTCCTGTGCAAAAGTTTTAGGCACTTGTGGAAAATGCTGTAAAGTAAAGATGCTTTAAAGAAATGCAATGATTAGTTTCTGTTTATCAATTGACAACATACAAGTGCAGTAAACAGCAAAACCTAAACCACCTCCATATTTGTTGTGACCTGCGTTTGTCTTTAATAGAGCATCAATTCTCCTCACTACACTTGCCTGCAACTTTTTAAGGTGCTTGGCCTGTAGGTTGTTTCAAGCCCGACCGATATTGGATTTTTGGGGCCGGTATTGTTATTAGGGAGTAAAAAACCTTGTGAATAAGATATGTATTGAAAGCAGGATATTTTACAGTTTAACAATAAACTTTACTGTCCAAAAATGACATCAGTGCACTTAAATGGTAAACTTCACTGGGAATTAAATAAAATAACTATAAAAAATAAATAACTATAAATAAATATTTAACTTGAATGAAAACAAAGGATCAAATATTTATAAAATGCTGCCTATATAACTTGATGTGACCCAAGCATTTCCACTGCATTATTGCTTCTTAGGAAAAGTATTAATATCAGCGCATATCGGAGAATATATGCACAGATACCGATTTATCTGTGATAGGCCTATATTGACTGATTAAAGACGGCCGACCGATAAATCGGTCCAGCTCTAATGTTGAGATTAGGGCACTGTGGGGGCCAGAGCCATCTTCTACAGAATTCCTTATTCGTGTTGCTGTAGATAGTTCTTTATGACTCTGGCTGTACGTTTTGGGTCATTGTCCTGCTGCAGAATGAGTTTGGGACCAAAAAGATGTCTTTGTGATGGTATTGCATGATGGATAAGAATCTTAAAGCACGAAGGAAGCAAATGTCACGCTGTTTGCACCGTGCGAAGAGGGTGTCCGCTGAAGACAGTGATGATGAGTTCTGATTAGATCATGCACTGATCCACTTTGTTCTGTTCTATTTTTTTTTTTTAATTTTCCTTGAATTTTGTTATTATCATTTGTTATCAGAACAGGAGGTTAACTGGTACTGGCACTGTCCATGTTCGCAATGTTTTGAATATTCAAAAGATTAAAAATGTATTTTGAATAATATTTTGGTCTCTTCTCTAAATATATATCGCTATATAATACTGTTATCTCAATGAAAAGTACTGAAACAGATGTATATGTAACAAAAAGAGGCAATTTATTACTTGGCTTGTAAAAAATTTACTTGGCCGGTAGATTTTTTTTCATCTACCGGCCCCCTTAGCAGGTGAGCCAAAAAGTTAGTTTACAGCCCTGCTTGCACTGATACCAATATATTTTTATTGGTATCTTTTTAGTGGTATATTTATGTATACAAGATCACTTTTCAATATATCAATGTTGCTTGCTTAATTGTGATTAAATTTAAGGCAAGAAAGATTGTTTGTGTTTGGTCATTAAAAGTCAGTCAAACTAAGATTCTAAGCTTTTACTAAATCTAGTGCACGGGTTGATGTAAAGTATAATAGGGGAGGAGATGATTACGTTTTATTCGGCCAGATTATTATTTTACAGTGTTTATAATCTTTGTCCATCTAAGGTCTGCCTCCCCTCACCATGGCTTCACCATCATGAACCGACTGAGCACCGAGAACCTGGTGGAGCCAATCAACAAAGACCTGGAGTTCCAGCTGCAGGATCCCTTTCTGCTCTACAGGAATGGCAACTGTGAGTATTTTTTTAGAATAATAAAATAGTAGATACTCTACAGAGTACAAACCTTTTTCTATACAAGTGTGGGCAAAATTTACATGTACTTAAAGAGACTATTATTGAGTGTCCATGACCCAAAATTTATAGTACTTATAGGAGTTTTGGATGAGCTCCAGGCCTATACTAATCAGCAATGAATTTACAAATGTGAATGATGAGAAATGTGAGATATCTTCCCAGAGAACATGCTTATAGATAGATATATACTTCATTTATCCCCTTGGG